GGATATTGTTGTACTGAAATGACAATAGACACTGTCATTTCAGTACAACAATATCCAAACAAATATTAAACTAGACACGTTTAATATTTTTATGTATATTGTTAAACTAAAATATGGAGATCCAACAGTGTATTTTTAATAGTTACTTTAATGCAGTTGATTTTAGATAATGTTTATTAAATTACCTTTTCTATCATGATATGTAAAATCTTAACTCATGTTTGTAGAGTGACCAGATGAGGACTGTAATTTAGAGCAACATAGTTCTCATCACCTTAGTTACATTACCTGTTTTGAAGGCTGACAAAACTGAGCTTTGGATGGCATAGCCCTGCGAACTTAATCTGATGTAATTGTTTACTAAATCATCCACATATTTATACTTTCTTTTAGTCTGAGTATTATCATTTTGATTTCGACTATTCCTCTTAACCTATTGTTACGTCTCTGGTCGTTGGTTAATTTCCCGTAGAAATTCTCTCCGAGAAACTTCAGCAATACAAGTTCTTTCTTAAATAAAACTAGTTTATTCTTTCTGAATACAACTTTGCAATACACTTAATTTCCACAGTCACGCTATAACAAACGCTATAATTCACAACGAACGACTCACGTGCTCAACTTAACAGTACGTCTCTATCTCTGTCTGCAGTTCAGTTACATTACACATTGTTGCCGTCACTTCTTGGCGGCTTATATATACAAGAATACCGCATATCTAGTAACCTCTCAAGGCTTCACGAAGGGACATGAACGTTCTAGAAGTTCATGACATGTTATTAGGTCACGTGACTTCCGCTGTCGTAACACTGCTCCTTCCTTAGTATTGTTCGTCCCGAACAATAGCCACCTATATTAAACAATAAGCAATTAACATTAATTTAATCAAATGTACAGAATTTACAAACACAAAATTAAAATTCAACAAAGTCTCTTAATTTTACAGGACGTATCATCTTCGTACTGGTCTCCATCTCGTTGGCTTCTGCTTCATGTGGGGTTCATCTACTTCATCAGGAAACGTCCTATCATTGGTGACAGTCACATCAGTAGTAGTAACTTCATCAAAGGGGTTCACTGTTTCACTTCTCAAAACCGAGTAGAGTTTCTTCTTCGACAGTGACTTTTTCAGGTGACACGTCTTCAGCAGCGTCATTTGTTCCATTGTTCACTTCATCTCAACTTAAATGTCCTGGACCGTGATAACACCAAAGCCTGATGGCATGCACCACCTTTAGCTTACCTCGCCGACCATATTTTATCTGGAAAGTCACGTCTGAGCGACGATCCACTATGTCATATGGGCCTTCCTATGGAGAAGACAATTTAGGAGACTTCCCTTTGGTCTTCCTGGGATTATACAACCACATCTTGTCTCCTGGTACAAAGCTGATTTCAGTAGATCTCGTATAATAAGATAACGTCATCGTATCAGCAGACGTTTTCAAATTTGAATGCACTTGATGGTGAATATCATCCATCCTTTCCGATAACACTTTCACAAACTCTGACACATTTTCAGGCAACTCTTCATAAGGTGGGCGTCCTGTTAACAGATCCACTGACAACCGAAGTTCCCGACCAAACATCAACTTTGCTGGAATATATCCAGTGGTTTCATGCTCTGCTGTCCTATAGGCCATCAATAGTGGAGAGAGTAAGACATTCCAGTTATCTTGGCGGCTATTACAAAACTTTGCCAATTCCTGTCCCAGTGTCCAGTTGTACTTTTCTACAATCCCATCAGACTGTGGGTGAAGT